GCCCTCCCTCCACCTCCCAGCCCCGCCCTCCCGGCCGCCACGCCCCCTCCTAGCCCCGCCACGCCCCTCCTCCCTCCCTCCACCGCCCCGCCCCGTCCCCCACTGACGCCCCGCCCCGTCCCCCACTGACCCCCCGCCCGGTCCCCAGGTCCACCCGGCTCCCGGCTCCCGGTGCCGCGCGCTGTTCTCGGACCGCGGCTCCGCGGCGCTCATCGTGTTCGGGCTCCTCTCACTGCCGCCGCTGCTGGTGCTCGCCTCGGCCGTCCGCGCCCGCCTGGCCCGGCGCCTCCGCCCGCTGCTGCCTCCGCCCGCTCCGACCCCCGGACCCCGCGGCTCCCCGGGGCGCCCCGACGGGGAGGGGCAACTCTGCGCCTGGGTTTGACCCGGTGCCGCTTCGAAACTCCGGGAGGCCTCCGATCGCGTGGCCCGGCCCGGGAGACTGAGGGTCGCGCCAGCTCCTGCCCCGGGCAGGGCCCGAAGAACCCCGGCTGCGACCCCGGCCTCCCCCGCGCGCAGCCCCGCCCCGTCGCGGAGGGGAGGGGAGGACAAGGGGCGCAGGGCCCAGCCCGGCAGGCGGCTCTGGAGGGGCGCAGGCCCCAGCCTCAAGGCCTCCCGCACCTGCCCAGGCCCCGGCCTCCAGCGTCCAGGGCTGTGGGGCTCCCTGGGGAGACCGCCGGGCTCGGCCAAGCCCAGGGTTCCAGCAGGGCTGCCTGTGGCCAGGCTGCCATTTGGACAGGCACCAGCCTCAGCCCACTGCCCTGGTAGCCTCTGCGATCTCGTCTGTGACTTTGGTGCTCCTAGGAGGGCCTGCTCTCGCCCGCCCGGCCAGGTGTAAGCCACTGGTCCACATTCCTCAGCTCCGGAAATCCCTCAACCGTGATCTCCAGTTCCACCAGGAATCCCTTCTCCACACCCTCACCTTTTCCTTTTTCGCCCATTGTCTCCTCCGTTTAATCTGCTCATTAACTAATCCATTTTATCTTAAATGATTATGTTAACATATCCGGGCCAGGCACCTTGGCTCAGGCCTGTAATCCCAGCACTTTGGGAGGCTGAAGTGGGCAGATCACTTTAGGCCAGGAGTTTGAGGCCAGCCTGGCCAACATGGTGAAACCCCATCTCTACTAAAAACACAAAAATTAGTCAGGCTTGGTGGTAATCCCAGCTACTTGGGAGGCTGAGGCAGGAGAATCGCTTGAACCCAGGAGGCAGAAGTTGCAGTGAGCTGAAATCACACCATTGCACTCCAGCCTGGGCCACAAGAGCAAGACTTCCTCTTAAAAAAAAAAAAAAAAATTAGCTGGTCATAGTGGTGCATGCCTGTAATCCCAGCTACTCAGGAAGCACAAGAATTGTTTGAACCTGGGAGGCAGAGGTTGCAGTGAGCTGAGATGGCACCACTGCACTCCAGCCTGGATGACTGAGCAAGACTCTGTTTCAAAACAAAAAAAAAGGTTAACATATCTAAAAGTTACATCTGATAGTTTTAGATTTTTCTGATCTTTTTTTACAGTCTGTTGGTACTGCTTACTTTTTGAATTACAGTGTCTGCTTCTTAAACATATTTCACATATAGCTATTTTATATTCTATGTCAAAGAATTCCAGTTTCCTCGTCTTTGGGGCTCTAAATCTGTGATTGATTGTTTCTACTGATTCTTATCAGTACCACGGTGTTTCTCTGAACCTTTGGAAATATTCCAGTTAGCCGTTATCTGTGACAGTTCTGAGGTCCAGCTTGGGGATGCTTCCCTCCAGAGACTATTCCTCTTCCACAGGCGAGACCACCCTGTGCCCCCTCTGTGACCCTGAGTCCTCTGGTTTAGCAGCCTCTATGCAGAGAAGCACACTCGTTCCCTGGCCACAGGCTGGCTCTCTGTCCCTGTGTGTGTCCAAGGAATTCTCTGCTTTCCCAACCAGTTCCCTTCATCATCCAGGCCTCCGGACTACTCTATTTGTTTACTTAGAGACAGGGTCTTGCTCTGCCGCCCAGGCTGAGTGCGGTGGTGAACTCACAGCTCCCTGCAGCCTCGACCTCCTGGGCTCAAGTGATCCTCCTGCCTCAGCCTCCCAAGTAGCTGTGGCTACAGAGTGCATCACCATGCCCAGCTACTTTTAAATTTTTTGTAGAGACGGGGTCTCATCGTGTTGCCCAGGCTGGTCTTGAACTCCTGGGTGCAAGCAGACCTCTCGCCTCAGCCTTCTGAAGTGTTGGGATCACAGGCGTGAGCCACCCCTCTGGGCTTTATTTATTTTTGCTGTTTAATTTTGGGGGAGCCTTGGAGATACTGACTTTCTTGGAAGCCCAGCAGTCTGTCACAAATGTGTGCTCACAGTCCTTTATCCAGAAGCTGGGTGTAGCTGGAAGGCCTTTTAAGGGATCTGGTACATCACATTGTCAGCAGGGCTCAGCCTGTGACCAGCAAGGTCTGGGCTCCGTCTGGGGCCAGGGTCGAGGCTCATTCCGTGGCCTTGAGCAGAGCCTGGTGTGTGGCTGGGTCAGGTCCAGCAGAAGCCCCGGGGTTTTCCGGCCTCCATCGGAGTCCAGCTTTGATGCCTTTCCTGGTCAGACAGGAGCCGGGCCAGTGGCCAAGTTGCCAGGATGGCTTCCCCTGGGCCGGGCCGCCACCTTCCTTCCCCTCCTGCCACCAGGGGTTGCAGATGAGAGCTCTCCAGGGAAGCTCCTGGCAGAGGATCCGCCTGGCCCCAGAGCCGTGAAAACAACAGCTGGGCCCAGTGGGGGTGGGGCGGCTGAACGAGAGGCCGGCCCCCTTTGCTGCTGGGCAGGGGCTTCTGTCCTTCACAGCTGCCGCGGGCGCCTCTTTCCAAAGGTGTATCCAGCTTCCCAGGCCCACTCCGAGGTCCCGCACCACCAGGGAGGTTGAGGGCACAGAGCAGCGATGCCTGGCCTCAGCCCCAGCTGCACGACCAGCTCACAAAGGAACACCTTCAAGGGCCTGCGGGTGGTTCAAAGAGGGGTGTAGGAATGTGCCCTGCAGAGCAGAGGCCTGGCTGCAGAAGACACGCGTGGAAGGGGTGGTGCAGGAAGGCCAGAGCCCGGGTGCCCGCTGGGCAGGGCCCCCCCCCCCGGGACAGAAGTAGGCTGGGCCCTGGCAGCTGGCGGGAGGCCGCTGGTTCTTCCTGGCACTGTCCTTGCCTGACCTCTTTGGTGGGTCCTAAGTGGCTACCTTGTTGGCCATCATCTGGGAAGCCAGGAGGAGGCAAGAAATGAGGGGGATGTGGGGCCCTCTTCCAAGGCTCCCCTCCTCAAGGCCCAAGGTATACAGAGGGCCTTCGCCCACCCTTCCAGCCCTGTCTGGGCAGGACCCCACCTAGACCTCACAAATCTCTCCCAACTTTTGCCCAGCATGGTGCCCATGATGGAAACCACCCCCCACCCTGCTTCAGGGCCCTGGGTCCCCAGGCCCGCCCCCACCCTGAGGGTGCCTGTCTACCTCTTCCCCCAGAGCCCCTCCCCCCACCTGAGGGCAGGAGCCGTGTCCCTCTCCCAGTGTTTCTGCTGCAGCTCTCCACTGGCATGGGGGCCCGAACTCCTTGGGTGGAGGAGCCAGCTGCAGGATGGCTGTGGGGACCTCTGCCTGGCGTTCTTTCCAGTGGCTGGGGTCCCTGCCCTGCCCAAGAGGGAGCCCAGCGTGTTCATGTGTGTGCATTTGTGCGTGTGTGTGCATGTGCGTACGTGTGTGTACATGTTTGTGTGTATGTGTGTGCCCGTGGCTGTGCGTGTCCTGTCTGCGTCCCCATCATGCCTCACGCTGGGGCAGGGAGGCAGTAAGGACCTCACCCCACTGGATGGAGCAAGCTTCCCACCTTGCCCTGACATTCCCTGATTCGCAAAACATTTCCTGGGAGCACAGTTGTTGGCAAGCACACCCACAGACTGAGCAGCTGGGGCCCCTCAGATGCGGCTCCCTCTGTCCCTCCAGCCTGTGCTGGCCTGCCCCTGCCCCCAGGCCTATAAGCTGGGCAGGCTTCAGGGCAGGAACTCCCGGGGTGGGTAGGCCGTTCTGAGGTCTAAGGCCCCTTCTCCCAGCCCCACCCTAGCCGCCTCTGGGGAGTCCCCCGTGGTGTGTGGCCAGAGGTCAGTCCCTCCCTGCTGCCTCCTCCCCAGCCCCGTCAAGGCGCCTGGGAGTTTCGGGTCTGCCCAGGGCTGTGGACTGAGCCTGTCTGGACCTGTCTGGGGAGGGGGCAGCCTGTGGTCCTCCTCTCCCTTTCAGGGAGGGGTGTCCCAGCAGAGAGACAAAGTGAGGGAACCCACACCAGGAAGGGGCTCTGCTGTTGGGACAGGCGGCCACACAGGCTGGAAACCCTGGGCCGTTCAGGCCCTGCTGTCGCTTCTCTCCGCCTGAAACACTCTTTCTCGAGTACCCCTTGTGTGCGTGTCCCCAGTGACCCCCTGTTCTCATAGGGAAACAAGTAGACGTCATCCTTCCGAGTGGGCACGGCCCACCCCTCCTAGCCTGGCAGTGCTGGCCCAGCGCCTGCATGTCCCCAGCGTCGAGGCTGGGGTGCGGCCATGCCTAGCACACAGATGACGGATTAATGGACAGACACAGATTGGGGAGGCTCCCGCCCCCTGCCCAGGCTGCTATCCACCAGGTGTCTGCCACCCCAGCTGCCGCTGGCATGGGGGACTGACTAGGGGTCAGCTCTGGGGCCAGAGGGGCAGACCTGGGCTCCTGGGAAGTGAAAAGTGAATCCCCGAGGCCCCCAGGACCTGCCCTCAGGCCCTGGCATGTCCTTGACCCCATTGAGCAGTTGGGTCTAGGAGCTGGGTGGGCCCTGCTCTCTTGGCGACCCCTGCTCTGCCCCACTTACTGTCCGGGGGCTCAGGCGCACCCCAGAGCGGTGCCTCAGGCCCGCACCGACGCCCTCACAGCCCCTTCCCGTCTCTGTTCACGGGTGTGCATGAACACTTTGTGAGATACACGAAAAACAGCAGCAAAAGGCCCTAGCTGTGGGACCGGGCGTTCTGCCCTTGGCCTGGGTCCGGGTGGGGTCAGAGGCCCCAGGAGCTGCCCTTTTCCCTGGGGTCAAACACGACCACAGCCAGCTGGGGACAAAAGGCCCTTCTTCTGCAGAGCTGGATGGTGCGGAGGAGGGAGCATTCCCAGAGGCGGGTGGGGGCAGGGGCGGTGCCGGGTGAGAGCAGCGTCCCGGCTTCCCGGAACCCCCTCCACCTGCCTGCAGACAGACCAGCAGGCCCGGCTGGCTCCAGGAAGTGAGGCAGAGGGACTCCCACAGCCAGGCCAAGGCCGTGGGGGCAGGGCAGCCACAGCCGCTCCAGGCTGCTCTCCACCCTCGGGGCCCCAGGCCGCCATGATCAGAGGGGGCTGTGCCTGCAGGGGGCAGAGGGCTCGGGGCCAGGACCCACCGTGATCTGGCCTGACCCGCCCTTGCCTCTGCGTGCCTTTCCCCGGGCCCTTCTCCCTGGAGAGTAGAGGCTTCCGGCTGTTCTGTTTGTGCTTCCTCCGCTGTCTGCCTCAAGTCCGGCTGGGGCCCTGACACTGCACCTCTGGCTGACCCCATGCTCCCTGGGACCCTCTGTCTGTCCACGTCTCTCCTCTGGGGTGGAGTCATCGGGTGGGGAGGGGGACGTCGGGATGACTGCTGAAGGCTGAGTGCCACGGCAGAGCGGAGCACGGGACAGAGCTGATGGGGAGGGTCCCCAGCAAGAGGGCCTCCAGGCAGGACTGGGAGCAGGGCAGGTGGCTGAGCTTGGCCCAGGCTGAGTGGAGGCCAGGCCTCCTGCGCCTTCTCCCGCCGATGGTGAGCCGGAGGGCGGAGTGCCGCGGCTTCCTTGAGGGCCTGAGTCACAGCCAAGAAGACCCGCTCACTTTTTCCAGAAGTGAGGAAAACTTCCCCCTCAGCCCAGCAGGGCAGGCCGAGGTGTGACTGCTGGGCAGGGGTGGGGGACAGTAGGCCCCTGGCTGTGAGCAGAGCAGCCGACTACCCAGGGTGGGAGACAGCGGTGGCCAGCACCCTGCCTGACCACCTGGGTGTGCCTCCACTGGGCCTGCAGCTGGCCCCTGGTCAGACCCCAGGTCCTCCAGCTGCTGCCGCCTTGAGCGTCATCTCCACAGCAGCCCCGGCGACTGGGGGCTGGGGGCCTGGCGAGGCCCCTCAGAGTGGCACAGCTCGCACTCTGGGAACCCAAAGTCCCCCCTCCGGGCCCAGGCGGAAGCACCAGGCAGTTTCTGGTCCCTGCCAAGGCCTGAGGTCTGTGGAGCCCAGCCAGCACCTCTACTGCCAAGATCCCTGGTGGGGGGGGGGACGGGGGCGCCGGCGGGGACACAGCTCTCCCTTGTTCCTACCGCCAGCTCCTCAGACTCAGCTCCTCAGCCTGCTGCTTCCTTTTTTAGGCAAAGTAGAGCTCTGGCCGGCCGCACGCCCAGGGGTGTCTCACCTGCCTGAAAGGGAGGAAGGAAGGCCAAGGAGCCCCATCCGCTCTCCTGCGGCATCCTCCAGGAGAGGGTGGGGAGGGAGGGGACATCCTGGCAGACACCCCCATGTCCCCTGCCCCCAGCTCTGAGCTGAGGAGGCCCCGGGAGAGGGCCATGGCTACTCTGAGGGAGGGAATGCTTTGCTTCTTGGGAGGGTCAGGGTGGGGTTCTCTTAGGCCTCAGCTCCTGTGCAAGGGACACCACCAGCCTAGTACCACCTGAGCCGGGCAAATCTGCCCTGGGGGACCAGTGTCCCTCAGGACACCCCCCGAAGCCAGCCACCTCTAGTCTGGACCTCACCGAGACCCTGAGACCCAAGAGCTCCTGCCTGGCTCACCAGTGGGCCCCTGCAGTCCTGCTGGGGTGTGTCCTGGGTCCGGGGTCTGGGCCCCTTGTTGGGCAGGGCATATGGGTCCCAGGCCCAGGGTGGTCACACTGCACAGGGCCAGCACCAACCATCTCTGCTCCCATGCTTCTTCCTCCAAGAAGCCCAGGTGGGGTGGGAGCCTCTAGTCTCTCAAATTCTTGTCTTCTGTCCCCTTCCAAGGTACTGTGTCCTTCTAAGTTCCACTCCAAGGCCATTCCAATCCCTGCTGGTCAGTCCCTGGGACACACGCCCCAGTCCCTGAGATACCTACCCCCCCCAACCCTGTGGCCAAGGTGAAGCCAGGGCCTGGGCCTTGTAGCGGGAACGTGTTTTTTTGGTGCCACTGTCAGCCCCTGGGGTTCTCTTGGGCCTGACTGCAGGGACCCCAGCACCCAGAGTCACGGCAGTGGCGGGCGTGGGGAGGACCTAGCTTGGGACCTCCCTGCTCAGCTCCACAGGCTGCGGGTCGCAGGGGGTGGAGAGAGCGGGGCCCACAGCCTTGGCCAGGAAGAGGGGGACTGGAGGGTCTGTGCGTGCCCACGCGTGCGTGCCTCGGTCGAATCTCGACGGGTGGAGCGTCCCTGCGTGTCCCTGCGTGTCGGGATCCGCTCGCGCGCGCTTCCCCGGAGGCTGTGCACGTGGCCCTCCGCTCGCGCAGGAGGGCGTGGGCGTGGCCTCGGCGTGGGCGTGGCCGTCCGGGGCGGGGCCTCCCGGGGGCGGGGCCGGCCTGGTCCGCGCCGCGACGCGCCCTGCAGCCCCGCGCGAGCCCGCTGCCGAGCGCCCCGTCCCTCGCGCGCGATGCTCCCCTGGACGGCGCTCGGCCTGGCCCTGAGCTTGCGGCTGGCGCTGGCGCGGAGCGGCGCGGAGCGCGGTGAGTGCGGAGGGCGGGCGGGCGGCCGTGCCGGGGGCTCCGCGTGCCCGCTCTGCGCCGCTGCCCGCCCAGGGCCGTCGCTGTCCCCGCTGCGGGCGGCCGGGGAGGCTGCGGGAGCCGGGCCGGGGCGCGGCGGAGCGTCCTGCTCACCTGCGGCGGGCGGCCCGGGTGCTCCGGGCGACACCGCCCGTGAGCGCTGGGGCGTAGGGGCCGGCCTGGCCCGCGTACCTGCGGGATCGTGGGCCTGGACGGGAAGACGGAGGTGATGTCCGTCCAGGGGTCTCCCCTGCCTCAGTTTCCCTACCCTTGAGAGGACCCTTAGTGAAGGGATGGTAGGGAGGTTGGAGTCGCCCCATGCACTGGGGAAAACCGCAAAGCCCAGACTAGAATTGAGGCACGCTGGTGCCCTGGCTCCGTGGGGAGGGCCGTTGTGGGGGCATGAGCCCCCACCCCGGCGGTGCCGGGAAGAAGGGGGAAGCCTGCGAGGGGTTGGTCATGCTTTCAGGCTGCTGGTGGGTGTATCTTGCTGTCTGAGTCCAGATGGGCTGGAGGATGGAGGCCAGGGGAGGGGGCACCATTTGTTAGGTGGGGTCTGGGCTCCAGCCTGACCATCCCAGGTGCTCATTGCTCAGCCTCCAATACCCTCCCCTGCTGCCCAGCATGCTTCGCCTGGATGCTGAGCAGCGGCTGAACTCCAGCCTCAGGCTGCTCCTCTGAAAGCCATTGCCCAGAGGGAGCAGCCCCGCCGCCTGAGTCCAGGCCCGGTGTCACCACCTGCTTGCAGGGTGTGAGGAATGGGAAGGTGTGGGGGCTTGGAGCGGAGAGTCACTCTCTCACAGATCAGACACCAGCCCAGAGAGAGCCCTAGACCCCACAGCCGGTGTGTAGAGTGAGACCCCGAAACGCACAGGCCACTTGCTTAGCTCACAGTTCTTCTTTCCCCCAACCTGGGACCTGCGGGTGAGGGCAAGCACTCACTTAAGGAAAGCTGAGGCCCTGGGGGACCCCGCCTTGGTGTGGGTCTGTCTGGGGGGCCCACACCTGAGGCTGGGCACTCCTTTCCCCCAGGTCCCCCAGCATCAGCCCCCAGAGGAGACCTGATGTTCCTGCTGGACAGCTCTGCCAGTGTGTCTCACTACGAGTTCTCCCGGGTTCGGGAGTTTGTGGGGCAGCTGGTGGCTCCTCTGCCCCTGGACACCGGGGCCCTGCGTGCCAGCCTGGTGCATGTGGGCAGCCGGCCGTACACCGAGTTCTCCTTCGGCCAGCACAGCTCAGGCAAGGCTGCCCAGGATGCGGTGCTCGCCTCGGCCCAGCGCATGGGCGACACCCACACTGGCCTGGCGCTGGCGTATGCCAAGGAACAGCTGTTTGCTGAAGCAGCAGGTGCCCGGCCAGGGGTGCCCAAGGTGCTGGTGTGGGTGACAGATGGCGGCTCCAGCGACCCTGTGGGGCCCCCCATGCAGGAGCTCAAGGACCTGGGCGTCACCGTGTTCATAGTCAGCACTGGCCGGGGCAACTTCCTGGAGCTGTCGGCCGCTGCCTCGGCCCCTGCTGAGAAGCATCTGCACTTTGTGGACGTGGATGACCTGCACATCATCCTCCAAGAGCTGACGGGCTCCATTCTCGGTAAGTGGAAGGAGGCAGGGTCCAGGGGGCCCTAGCTGGGAGCTGCAGGAGGAGAGTCTGGGTTGAGACTTGGGGAAAATCTCTGATCTGCAGAGCAGCGGCCAGGGCCTCAGGGCTGTGGTGCCTCTGGGGCGCAGGGCTGAGCGAGCAGCTTCTCTGTGCACGCTCTCCACTGGGTGACCCAGGCGCCCTGCTGAGACGGGGGCAGGCTGGAGTCGCCACCTCGACATGTAGCTCCCTGCTGACCGGTCCAGCCCAGACCTGGAGGCCCCATGGAGAAGCTTCCCAGGCTGGGAACTCTGCAGATGGGGAACACGTGCTCCTGTGCATGTCCACCGCATCTGGAGCAGGGAGAGCCAGGAAGGTTAGACACTGCCCCCCAGAGCACAGGGCAGCTCTCCCGGGTGGGGACAGCCACTGAGGGCTCTGAGCTGCTTCAGACTGCAGGCCCACCGTGAGGATTTCCTGAGAAGCCAGACAAGGGAAGGCCTGAGGCAGGAGCTGAGCAGCTCCACTGGCTTTTTTCTGGACCTCCCTGCCCCAGCCGGGCCCTGAAGGAGGCGGGCTAGAGAGGAGGAACCTGGTCACTGGCTCCGCAGGCTGTAGCCACTGACATGCCACTAACCGCGGTTCTCACCAAGTCTCCGCCTGTGGGTTAATCATCCACCCAGGGCCGGAAGGGGTTGGATTGTGGGTTGGAGAGAGGTGGAGGGCCCTCCCCAAGGTTTCCCCAGGGACGTCTGACCCCTAGTGGCCCCCTGGGTCACCCAGTGCAGCTGGGCCTGGCGCGGATCAGGACGAAAGGGTGCCTTCAGCAGCGGGGCAGGAAAAGCCAGAGGCTACAGTGCAGAGGGGCCAGGCAGTAGGGTGGGGTCTCCTGGAAAAGGGGCCTGGTCTGAGAGTGGGGGACGGGAGGAAAGTGGGCCAGGCACCCAGCACTACAGAAGGAGGATCCCAATGACTGTGACCCAGCGTAGACATTTATGAGCCTGCCACAGCAGGGTCACTCAGGGGTCATGTGGGGCTTGGCGTTCCAGGCCCAGGAGTCTCCCTCCGGAGTACCCCACCCCACACTCTCCTGGGGACCTGGGGCAGACAGCGCCTCCGGAACCTCAGGGCCTGCAGCTCAGGGAGCCGGGCTGAGCTCTCACCCGGGCCTGGCCACTTGGGCTGGGGCTGGTCCTCTGCTCTCAGGCACCAGTGTTGACCCTGCCATCTGTGAGAACCTTTGTCCTGGTCACTGATCTGGCCACTGCACCTCTCCACAAAGGACTGGGTTTGGGGCTGAGGGAAGCAGGGGCGCTTCTGACCGGGTCTGAGGGGCTACACCCCTTCCTCCGTCCTCCCCCAGCCAAGGCACATTCTGAGAATCTGCAGCATTGGACGAGGGGCCCCACCTTTCCTAGTGGGGCCTCCAGTCTCCAGAACTTCCCCATCAGCCAGGGCCGCCCTCCAGGTGCGGAGGAGGAACTGACCCCTGTCCCCTGACCCCCGGCACCACCCACAGACGCGATGCGGCCGCAGCAGCTCCATGCCACGGAGATCACGTCCAGCGGCTTCCGCCTGGCCTGGCCACCCCTGCTGACCGCAGACGCTGGCTACTACGTGCTGGAGCTGGTGCCCAGTGCCCAGCCAGGGGCCGCGAGACGCCAGCAGCTGCCAGGGAACGCCACGGACTGGACCTGGGCCGGCCTGGACCCGGACACGGACTACGACGCGGCGCTGGTGCCCGAGTCCAACGTGCACCTCCTGAGGCCCCAGCACCTGCGAGTGCGCACGCGGCCAGGCGAGGCGGGGCCGAGGGTTGGGGGACCGGAGTCGGGGGCTGCGCCGGTCCCCACCCAGCCCGCGGCCCTCCCCGCCCCGGAGGAGGCCGGCCCGGAGCGCATCGTCATCTCCCACGCGCGGCCGCGCAGCCTCCGCGTGAGCTGGGCCCCGGCGCTGGGCGCGGCCGCCGCGCTCGGCTACCACGTGCAGTTCGGGCCGCTGGAGGGCGGCGCGGCGCAGCGCGTGGAGGTGCCCGCGGGCCGCAACTGCACCACGCTGCAGGGCCTGGCGCCGGGCACCGCCTACCTGGTGACCGTGACCGCCGCCTTCCGCTCGGGCCGCGAGAGCGCGCTGTCGGCCAAGGCCTGCACGCCCGACGGCCCGCGCCCGCGCCCACGCCCCGTGCCCCGCGCCCCCACGCTGGGCGCCGCGAGCCGCGAGCCGTGAGCCGTGAGCCGGCGTGCCCGCCCCGCCGAGAGGGCCGGCGCCGACCTCAGGGCCTCTGTGTCCCGAACCCAGCGCGGAGGCGCCCAGCGTCGAGGTTTTGCCCGGGAGACGACGGGTGCAGGCCCGGCCTTTCCCCACGCGGACTCCGCGCGACCCCGGCCCTCTGTCTCCCCGCGGCCGCAGGGCTCCCTGCCTGGCGCCTGCCCTCCAGGGCTCGGGCCTCGCCCGGAGGGACCCCCGCAGCAGCTCCGGCCCATCCCCGCCCAGAGTCCAGCGTGGTGTGGACCTGTGGGTGGTGTTGAGAACATCAGAGATAGGACTGTCCGGGGAGGAACCCAGTCAGACTCCCACGTGTGAAGTAGGCCGGGCCCCAGGTGGCAGGGCTGGCCTGGGGGAAGGCAGCTTGGGCCCTGGGTGTTGGCAGAAAGTGGAGGGAATCACGGCAGAAGCTGGCCCAGGTCAGGTCCCCAAAGGCTTCTGGAGAGAAGGAAGGGCAGGTAGGAGCACAGGGATGCTGAGGGTGTGGCCAGCATGCCCAGCCGGCCGGAGGGCAGTGCCTGCTGGGGACAGTGGCCCTGCCGTCATTCCCAGGACGCCAGCTGGGTCCAGCTAGCAGCCACTGGGAAGCACAGGAATGGGGCAGAGCCGGGCATTCAGGACTGTGGGGACAGGAGGCGCCCCCCACCCCACTGGAAGCCTTCCCTGGTGGGGGGACACTTCCCAGGGCTGCAGGGAGGATGCTGTCCAGGGAGATGAGGTCTCACCATTCGTGCAGGGCCCAGTGTCCTCTTTTGGCTGTGAGGGGTCATACTCGCTGCCCTGGGGCCCGAGGGTGAATCATCCAGGGTGGGGGTGCCTGGCTAGGTGCAGCCCCACCCCGCCCCACCCCCAGGACCACGGCATCACGCAACGCTCACCTCGCCTCTTCCCCACTAACGTCCCAGACTTTACAATCCAGTAAATCAGATGTACACCCAGCCTGCAGTCTCGTTAGGATGCTTTACTCCTCCACAAACACACCAGCCATGGGCGGGACAGCTGGTGAAGGTCTCCGCCTGTTGGGGTGTCTGGGGAGAGGAGGTGGAGCCACCCCCTCCCTGGGCCAGGCCTCCTTGGCCCCCCTGTGCATCTTCTATTCAGAGAGCCTGGGCCCCCTCCTGTGGGGCTTGGCCTGGGGCAGGTGGCTGGAATGCAGAGGACAGGGGGCTGGGCCCTCTCTGCAGGGACCTTCCCACCGCAGCCTCTGCCGCCACCCACAGCCCTGGGCCCAGCCCCACGAGGGCTCCCTCTGCTGGCAAAGCTGCACCCTGCACCGCATGGCCCCCCTGCCCCTTTCCCCACATGGACTCCGCCTGACCCCAGGAACTGCAGCATTGAGGTGGTCTCAGTCCCTCTCTCAGGCCTGGTGGGCGTTGTGCCAGGGGACAGCCGGCCGTGGCACCATATACTCAGAACCCGGCTCTGTGTATCCTGTAGCCCCACCAGACACCCCACGCTGCACTGCCCACTGGCTGGGTGTGGTCACCATTCGTGGAGGGCCAGCTGGGGTCAGGCTCACCACCCAGAGTTTGCCCTCGTGTGTGACGATGCCTGAGTCATGGGATGCCCCCCTGCTTGTGCGTGCATTGGGTGTGTGTGTGCGGGGACTCTGCCGGCTAGGCATTGGGTTCTCCTGAGCTCCCCTCAGCCGCCACGTCAGGCCACGGAGGCCTGAGCGGGACCCGTGGGCTGTGTGTGTTGCTGCTCACAACTGCACTGCTGGTCAGCAGGTGGCCAGGGTTGCAGGCCCGGGACTCGGCCCCACCTCCTCTGGAGGGGTAGAATCTCCTGCATGTTCTCCAGAGTAAGGGCAGATCTGAGCCCACGGTTACCCCAGAGGAGATGCCCCCTCGCACTCTGAGCCCAGGCCCAGCTCACAGAGCGCCCTGCGGGCGGCTGCAGAACACCAGAGACTGGTTCCTGACAGTCAGACTCCCGTGACAAGCTCCACCTCCGCAATCCCAAGGGCAGAGCCGGCGGGGGAGGGGGCCAGATGCAACCCTGCTCCCTCATACCCGGCTGGCAGAGGCTCTGCCTCCTCTGCTCATCTCTGGACACCAAGGCCCAGCATAGCACAAGACCTCACGGGAAGGGTGAAAAGGCACTGCCACCTTCATCTCCATGCCAAGGAATGTCCCTTCCAGAAGCCTGGAAGTGCTGCCCCTTATGCAGCCCCAGGCATTTTAAAGTCTTTGAATCTGGGGGTCCGGGTGCGGTGGCTCACACCTATAATCCCAGCACTTTGGGAGGCCGAGGCAGGTGGATCACCTGAGGTCGGGAGTTCGAGACCAGCCTGACCAACATGGAGAAACCTCGTCTCTACTAAAAATACAAAATTAGCCGGGCGTGGTGGCGGCACCTGTAATCCCAGACACTCGGGAGGCTGAGGCAGGAGAATCGCTTGAACTCAGGAGGCAGAGGTTGCGGTGAGCCGAGATAGTGCCACTGCACTCCAGCCTGGGCACCAAAAACGAAATTCTGTCTCAAAAACAAAACAAAAGAAAAAACAGGAGACACACAGCTAGTGCACTGGAGCTGATCTTCCTAAACTGTCCTCCCTCTGGCAGAAGGCTATCATGTGGCCTGTGCTCTGGGAATTGGACTGGGTTTATTACGGTCACTATGGAAACAGGCAGCAAGCTTCCCTGGGTGGTTCCCAGCTGTGTGGCACACTCTTGGACACCCCACCTCCCAGAAACCTGCACTCAGACCCCAGGGGTAAGACACCACACCTGGCAAATTTCTTTTTAGGGATGGGGGTGTTGCTGTGTTACCCAGGCTGCTCTCTAACTCCTGACCTCAAATGATTCTCTTGCCCTGCGGGAGTGCAGATAGGGACCACGGCACCCGGCCGCCCTACTTCTTTTGTATGCCTCTCATGAATCAGTGCACTCGGGGGAGCCCTGGCAGGGGTGACGGGTTTCAGGGAGCCCTGCTTTTGGTGGGTGCTGGGGAGGGACCAGCAACCCAGGGCCCTATGCTGGGCACTGTGACTCAGGAGGGCCATGCTGGGAGCTCTTCTTGTGGTTGTGCCAGGGCCGGCCCGGTGGGGAAAGAGTCCATGCTGGCTCAGGCTGAGACCAGAACTCCTGGGTCCTTTTGGAAGCTGGAGAGAATGAAGGGGAATGGGATCAGCCCCTCCCTCCTAGAGGCCAGGCCCCCTGAGAAGAATGAGACTGCAGAGTGATGTGGGGGGCTGGCAGTGAGTTCTCAGGTGTAAGAGGGCACGCGTCTGCACGGGCATTGTCCGTGGGAGACACGCGGCTGGCCACTGCAGCCTGGGTCCTGGGAAGCCCTGGGGCGGGTCACTGGGGGCCAGAGGCCACACTGGGAGGTCACTGTGCTGATATACCATGCAGCTCCCTGTCCCCAGAGGTTTGGTCAGATGCAGAGAGCTCAGAAACCCATGCGCTGCCTGGATGCTGGCAGTAGAGCGCTATACCCACTGCCCGGGTGGGGGTTCCTGCTGGCCCTGGCTTCCGGAGGCAGCTGCGTCTCGGTCTTGGCTCAAGGTCGGGCCGGAGGCCAGGCTCTCCACCTGCATCTTCGACTGCACGGTCACTCCTCCAGGCCTTCAATGCTGGAGGACTCTTCGACAGGCAAACTCTGCTTTCAGGGCAGGGCTGGGTGCCGGGGTGGGCGGGGGAATCCCATCAGCGAGATGGTGCAGTACAGTGCACAGAACCTCAGACCTGTCAAGTGAATGTAAAATGCTTTTTTAACTTTGTGTCCTTAGGAAGGGTGTGGGGTGTTGGTTTAAGGAGCAAACAGAAGAGCAACCTTGGCATTGAGCTCCACTGAGAGCTGACCCCTGGGACCTGCCGCGCCTGGAGGGAGGCACTTCACCTCTCCTCGCTCTCTGTCTCTTTTTCCTTTTAGAGGCAGGTTCTTAGTCTGAGCCCAGGCTGACGCGCAGTGGTGTGATAATGGCTCACTGCAGCCTCGACCTCCCAGGCTCACGTAATCCTCCTGTGTCAGCCTGTCCAGTAGCCGTTCCCTACAGGGCCCTAATTAGCCCCAGAGGCGTGCACCACCATGCCCAACTAATTTAAAAAATTTGTTGTAGGCCAGGCATGGTGGCTCATGCCTGTTATCCCAGCACTTTGGGAGGCCGAGGTGGGCGGACTGCCTGAGCTCAGGAGTTGGTGACCGGCCTGGGCAACACACGGAAACCATCTCTACTAAAATACAAAAAACAAATTAGCTGGGCGTGGCGGCGTGCGCCTGTAGTCTCAGCTACTCAGGAGACTAAGGCAGGAAAATTGCTGGAACCCAGGAGGCGGAGGTTGCAGTGAGCTGAGATCACACCACTGCACTTCAGCCTGGGCAAGAGTGAGACTCTGTCTCAGAAAAAAAAAAATTTGTAGAGACTGAGCCTCGCTCTATTGCCCAGGCTGGTCTCAAACTCCTGGCCTTGAGATCCTCCTGTCTCTACAGGCATGAGCTACCAAGCCAGGGCCTCAATTCCTCCTTAAAGGAATTGCCTAAATCTTAAACCAGCAATCAATACTTTGTTTTTAAAATTAAGCCAAGTTAGGCTGGGCATGGTGGTTGACGACTGTAATCCCAGCACTTTGGCAGGCCGAGGCAAGCGAATCACAAGGTCAGGAGATCAAGACCACCCTGGCTAACACGGTGAAACTCCGTCTCTACTAAAAATACAAAAAATTAGCCAAGCATGGTGGCAGGCGCCTGTAATCCCAGCTATTTGGGAGGCTGAGGCAGGAGAATCGCTTGAACTGAGGGGGCAGAGGTCGCAGTGAGCCAAGATCACGCCACTGCACTCCAGCCTGGGCGGCAGAGCAAGACTGTATCTCAAAATAAATAAATAAAATTAAGCCAAGTTAAATGAAACTGGTTATTACAGTATAGAGATTCAAATGTGGCACATACACACCATGGAATACTATGCAGCCATAAAAAATACAGAGATTCAGAAAAGACACAGGCTTGCTCAATGCCTGTAGGGAAGGCTGGAGGCTGGCCCAGGGCTGTTTGTGGAGAAACAGGATCTCAGTCTCTTACCCCCCCCATTTATTACTATTTTTTGAGAAGGAGTCTCGCACTGTGGCCCGGGCTGCAGTGCAGTGGCACCATCTCAGCTCACTGCAATGTCTGCCTCCCGGGTTCAAGCAATTCTCCTGCCTCAGCCTCCCAAGTAGCTGGGATTGCAGGTGCCCACCACCATGCCTGGCTAATTTTTTGTATTTTTAGTAGAGATGGGAGTTCGCTATGTTGGCCAGGCTGGTCTCGAACTCCTGACCTCATGATTTGCCCGCCTTGGTCTCCCAAAGTGCTGGGGTTACAGATGTGAGCATCCGCACCCGGCCACCCCTTTCCTCTTCTTTATCCATCCAGGTCCCATCAGGGATGCTTTGCAGGTAGTCCCTAAAAACCTCGATGATGGGGCCGGGCATAGTGGCTCACACCTGTAATCCCAGCACTTTGGGAAGCTGAGGCCGGTGGATCACCTGAGGTCGGGAGTTGGAGACACCAGCCTGACCAACATGGAGAAAACCCGTCTCTACTAAAAATACAAAAAGCTCGATGTGGTGGTGCATGTCCGTAATCCCAGCTACTCGAGGGGCTGAGGCAGGAGAATCGCTTGAACCTGGGAGGCGGAGGTTGCGGTGAGCTGAGATCATGCCATTGCACTCCAGCCTGGGCGACAAGAGTGAAACTCCATCTACTAAAAATACTAGTCAGGTGTGGTGGTGCATGCCTGTAATCCCAGCTACTTAGGAGCCTGAGGCAGGAGAATCCCTTGAATCTGGGAGGCGGAGGTTGCGGTGAACCAAGATCGTGACACTGCATTCCAGCCTGGGCAACAAGAGCAAAACTCTGTCTTAAAAAAGAAAGAAAGGAAGAAAAAGCCAGGTGCTGTTGCTCACACCTGTAATCCCAGCACTTTGGGAGGCTGGGGTTGGTGGAACCCTTGAG